GCCCACCATTCTTGATCAGTCAGGGTTCGTTGATCAGGTCCTGGGGAGGATCATCACACCCGAGGGTGTAGACATCACGTGCGATGCCAGCCAGCAGGGAAGCAAGTTGGACTACGCACTGGCCAGCGAAGCCGCCATCCCGCACATAATCTCGTTGCGGCCCGTCATCGACGCACCGCGGCGCCCACATATTGATCTGGCGTTGGAGGTGCGAGGGGGCGGGCAGCAACTGGTTACCAGACGTTTGGTCTGCGCTGGTCGGTTGACCCAGGTGCCTCGGCCCTCTAGCTCACCCCAGCCTGGCTCGAAGAGCTCGAGAGCCAAGGCTGAGGCACAGCAGCAGCGTGCGCTCGCAGCAGCTAATCGCCAGGAACAGATCTCTGCCATGTTTGGTGGCAATGTGTACCTGTCTCCCCCGGCGCCACCAGGAAGTCTGGAGGGGGCTCTCCATGTTTCTGTGCGCGAAGGATTCGAGGAGCCCCTCCCGTCAGACGACGGGGAAGGCCCGTGGGCGGACGAACCCCACTTCGATCCGCCAGGGGTGCAGCAAAACGAACAGCCTGCCGTCAGCATCGGTCGCGTCAGCATGGTTGAGCACATGTCTGCCCCCCCTTAGCTCTTGTGATGTTGGGGGCGTTCAGTCGGACCCTCCTGCCAATGATGTCTCTGGACCCCCCCCCCCCCCCCAGCCGAATGGCGCACTCCGCGTTCTGAGACCCCTCTCGAAAAAGGCCCTTCGGTCAAGGTCGAGCCGTCGTGTCGCATGCCTGAGGAGCTGTGGGCCAGATTCCGCGAACAGAATCAAAGGCTCGGCCACCTCCGCCCGCCCCACGTCGCGCCCTCCGCAGGGTGCGGGCTCAGCCCTCAGCGCGCGAGCGCTGTGAGCACGTGGTTCGCTCAGTGGGTTCGCACTGTTGAGCAGGTGGTGAGTGCGCATCGCCAGCAGCCACCGTCGGGAGGCCCGAGCCGCGCCGAGGGCTGCAGGTTCTCTGAGGAGCCCGTGCGCCACAGCGGCCGCCAGCGTGAGCTTCCCCTTCGGGGTCGCGTTGCGGGCTGGTGGAAGCGAGTGCGTTCCGCTCTAACGCAGCATGACCGACCTGGTCACCGAGCCAATGGGGAGAAGCAACTTCAGGAGCTCTACTTGGCGTGTCTGCACCTTGCTCAGGACTGCCCTGACCGCGCACGGGGACGGCCTCAAGGTCTCGGAGCCCGCCCTGAGCGAGTGGACCAACCTCCTCCGCAACGTGGCGAGCTGCACCCTGCGGGTCTTGGAAGGTTTCCAAGAGCTGGCCCAGCGCGTGGAGCGTCGGGCATCTCGCAAAGCGTTGAATATATTTGCAGCATTTCAGATCCTGGACCACGGATCAGAATACCCTCGGCGCCGTGCATAAATCCTTACGAGGTGATCCACTGCCCCAGCAGGACGCCCGCACGGCGGCTGGGCTTCTCTCTCATCCCAAAGAGATTTTGGATCACGAGGGGAGGATTGCAGCACCACCTGGGGACCCCGTGTTTGCGATTTCGAGGCTCTCCGCACTGCGCGCCAAGACGTTTCTGCAGCCGCGCAGAGCGCGCCCCTGGAGCCTATCCAAGGTCATCATATCCGGATTGTTGTTAGTCGCATGACGGCGCGGACTGGCATGGGAGCTGACAGGCTGACCCCCATTGACATCGAGCGCCTGCCAGAAGCTGGGCAGGACGAACTTGCAGCGCTCCTCAATCTCTGCGAGGCCGCCTTGACCTGGCCACGCCAGACCCAGTTCATCGCGGGCAAGCTCCTGCACAAGAAGAGCAAAGGCGGCCGCGCCATCGGGCTGACCTCGCCGCTGCGCGCGCGGTCGCTCATCAGAGAGGCCGAGGTCAAGCCGCGGGCGGCTGTCACCGAGCAGCAATGGGGCGCGGCGGCGCTCGGCAATGCCTCGCTGCAGGAACCTCTCTGCTGCGCGTTGGGCGACGAGGTGGCAGCGGCCGCGCGCGTCAGGGCCGCCCGAGGCATGCTATATATCAAGGGATGTTATGACTGCATTGGACGAAGCCTTCTCCCCGCGGCAACGCTGCGTTCGAGGTGCCCCGCAGCAGTGCTCTACATGAAGATGGCGCAATATCCCCACCCCCCCCCCACCCCCCCACCCCCCACCTCCGCACCTTGGAACAGTTCGGCGCGGTCTGCGTTCCGCCCCAGGATCAGCGGCCCATCATCCAAGGGCTGCGAAGGGGCACAAGGTTTGCGAAATGCCTCACTCACTTCATCCTGGGAGCCATCGCCCACGAGCACAGCTGCATCAACCACCGCATCTGGGTGGGCGACTTATCTCAGCGCATGGCGGGGCCGAGTGAAGTGCCCAGGTCCAACGCGACAGCGCGCCTGGCGGACGCGCGCAACGAGCTGGCGAAGCGGACGCCGGATGCAACCCCGAAGTCGGCCATTCCATGCTCTGCGCACGGCGGCGCCCAGGCCACGTCAGCTCAATTGAAGTTGAGGGGCTTCTCGGTCGGAGCCGTGCTCGAGGCGCCCTTCCTCGGCATCGATCAGGGCAAAGGCGCCCGCATAGCACGGCAGACCAGAATCAAGAGAGTCGCCAACCACTCCAGAATCCACGGGAAGCTGCGCCGTTTCTCCAGAGCCTCTCGGCAGTATCGGATCACTGGGAAGCCGGAGAAAACTGGGGCAGCTGCTGCTGGACTGCACGGCCACCAAATTCACGGCTTATTTAGGAAGCCGCTGGACCCTTTTCCGCCGTGGCCGGGCCGCGGTATCTAGCACTGGAGGGCGCGGGCTCTGCAAGACACCCCTGCCGGCTATTCGGTCGCCCGAGGAGGATCCTGGCACCGAGGTTCCGCGCGACTGCTTGGCAGTTTCGCTCGAACAATGGTTCAGCGAACCCAGCATCCGCACAGGCGCCCGCCGCGCCTGGCCCCCTGTCGTTGCTGAGTTGCGTAAGGTTCCTTGCCCCCAGAGAAACCGGAGGATTCGAGGACCTATGTCGGCGGTCATCGCCTATCGCCAGCCCATTGGATCATGCCGCGCGGTGTCGAGCGGCAGTTTCCTGATCCTGGATATTCTCGCATCATGGCGATCAACTGCACTCGCGAGTTCTGCTGAGATTTCGATCGGTCCTCAGCTGCTGTGTCGCGGGGAAAGGCAGCCCTGCACTTCTGCGGCTCAGGGCTGGAAGCGGGTGTAGACACAGAGCCCCTCCGAGCGCTGCTGAGACAGATGGAGGAGGCCAAGCACGGCCGCCGACAATCGGAGCTCCTGGTCTCGATCGCCGCTGGCGGGAGTTGGCCCCGCACGCGCCGAGCCCAAGCAGCCTCCAAGGTTCTGGTGGGCCCTCTGTGTCCTCGTTGCCGCGAGCAGGAGGAGATTGCGCTGCATAGGTTCTGGACGTGTTCTGCCGACAATGGTCGCCCGATCTACCAGGGCTCGGACTTCCCACTGGTCCAGGCGGTCTCGCAGCACCAGGCAGAGGAGGGACCTTGGCTGCGAGGCCTGCTGCCTCAGTATGCGACGCGCGTCCCAGCGCCAGCGGCCGAGGAGGTGTAGTGGAGCTCCGACCTCGAGACCGCGGGCGAGGGATGCCTGGGGCCAAGCAGTGCTGAAATGTCTTGTTCTGCTGCTCGGGGACGCCAGCGGTGGAGAGGACTCCCGCTCGACCTTGCTGCAACGCGTGGGCCTGGGAATGGTTCAGTTCGCAAACGAGAGTTGCGAATGCATGCTGTGTGCAGTAGGGGGGGCCTTTTACCTGGTGCGCGCCAGTCGGTGCCACGAGGTGAGCTGTACATGTTCATAACCGCGCTGAAATGGGCCAGTGACGACCTCATTTATATCACGGGCAATCAAGCTGTGTACGACGGATGGCATGCAGGACGTAACCGACACCCCAGAGGAGAGAATGACGACCTCTGGGGGGCATCTCAGAGATCAGGAAGAACCGCAATCGCGGCCACATAGTGCTGCTGTTCACACGCTCTAACCTCGAAGCTTCTGATATAGCTGCAGGTCGAGGGCTGACCTGGCTGGTGAAAGGAAATGTTGATGCCGACCTGATAGCAGGTGAAGCAGCCAGTCGGTGTCAGATACCCAAGCAGGACCGATTCCGAATGAATGAATGGGAGATGAAAGTGTTTTGGGTTCGAATGCGGCTCCTGCCAGCCACCCTCGACGCGCTGGCTCGTGAAAAGGAGCTTGACGCGGAGGGCGTGTCCAGGCGGCTGCACAGGCACCGCCGCGGCCAGACCGGCGACAGCACGAGGACTGTCCCTTCTCCGCCTCTTCCGCCGCCCTCGCTGCCGCCGCCATCCGACTTTGCCGTCTCTGTCTTTGACTCCTCTCACGCCCTGGACGAAACGGGGCCCCGCTGCACTCAGTGTTTCGGGTCGGCTTCCAAATCCCTGGTCCGTGCGTGGAGGAGGACTTCGTGTCCCAGTTTATTTTTGGTTGACGGCTCCCTCAGAGGCCTTCCAGAGGGGGCGTGAGTACACATTGCTGGGGGGTGGGTACACCCCTCCCACCGCATGCGACTGCATCAGAACCTCGGAGTTTGGTTTTGCGCGTGCTGTGGGATGTTCGGGTACCAACAAATTTTGGGTTTAAGCAAGGAGTGCCTAGAACAGGTTACTCCCACTCGTCGAGAATATCTGAATCGTATCGAGCGGGGTCTTTTCCCCAAGGCCTACAGCAAAGCCGAGCTCGATCGCAGGACCCACAACGGGCCTTCTTGAGGTGGTTTCGGACTTCGTCCCAGGACTCCAGACTCCAGACTCCTCCTCGTCCTCGTCCTCGTCCTCCTCCTCCTCCTGCACTTCCTCCTCCTCCTCCTCCTTCTCCTCTTCTTCTTCCTCTGCCTCCTCCTCCCTCTCCTTCTCTCCTTCTTCTTTCATGTATGATTTTCCTTGTTCCATTATTTATCCTCCTCCTCCTGCTCCTCTTCCTCCTCATCCTCCTCCTCCCCGCCCTCGTCGAAAGTTCCCGAAAACCCCTCGGCCGGGTCCCCCAAAGCCTTGGAAGTGGCCACGCCCATCGCCATGCTGTCCGCCCAACAACCGCCGGCTGGCGGCGGCTGCGCCGGAAAGGCAGCCTGGAACCCCCCGCGCTCTCGGGTTTCCTCGTCCTCCTTGTGGTATACTCCTTTTGTTGCCTCCGCTTCCTCCTCCTCCTCCTCCTCCACCTCCTCCTCCTCCTTCGTCCTGATCTTCCCCCCGTTCCTCCTGCTCTTTCCGTTTCCTCCTTCTCCTCCTCTTTCTCCTGCTCCTGCTCGTTATCTTACCCATGTTTCTCCTTCCTCCTCCGCCTCATCCTCTCCTTTTCCTCCTCCTCCACCTCCTCCTCCTCCAGCTCCTTATCCGTCTCATCACCACCACGACAACCATTACCACAACCGTCATCACCACCATCATCATCATCATCATCATCATCATCATCATCATCATCATCAGCATCATCATCATCATCATCATCATCATCATCATCATCATCATCATCATCATCATCATCATTACCATCATCACCATCACCACCAGCATTACCATCATTACCCTCGTCACCAACAGCATCAGCATCATCACCATCGTCCTCAACAGCAACACCATCACCATCACCACCACCGTCACGCTCACCATCATCATCAACAACAATGCCATCACCACCATCGTCAGCATCAGCCGCATTGTCATCAGCATCACCACCACCAGCATCGTCGTCATCGCCAACATTACCATCATCGAAGTCAGCATCGCTATATCACCAGCATAACCGTCATCGACATCATCAACATCAACATCAGCATCAACATCCGCATCAACAAAATCGGCACCACCAGTAATCAACGGCATCCTCATCATCGCCATCGTCATCGTCATCGTCATTTTCATCCTTATCTTCGTCCTCATCCTCATCACCATCATCATCCGCAACAGCATCATTATCTGCAGCAGCGTAAGCAGCAACAGCAGCATCAGCATCATGGGCACATCTTTTCCATCATCACCATGACCCACATCACCAGCATCATGACCAACACCATCATCATCAGCATGAGCAGCATCCTCAGTATCACCATCATCGTCGTCGTCACCATCATCATCTCCATCATCAGCAACATTATCAGCGTCGCCATCATCACCATCATCGTCATCACCAGCGGCATCATCATGATCGTCGTCACCACCATCATCATCATCACCATCACCACCACCTGCGTCATCATCATCACCAGCAGCTGCATCATCACCACCAGCAGGATCATCGTCAGCATTTCCATTGTCATCATCATCATCATCGGCATCATCATCGTCGTCGTCATTATCATCCTCATCCTCGTCCTCATCCTCATTGCTCCTCATCAGCATCAACATCCATTATCTGCAGCATCACCAGCAACAGCAACAGCAGCAGCATCATTGGCAGCAACATGCACATCATCATCAGCATCAGCATCATCACTCTTGCCACCAGCATCA